TCCTTCAAGAGAGATGGAGCCTGCTCTTCCCTCCTAAGTTCGTTGCTATACATCCCTATACAACTAATATGGAAGAAATATCCAACAAATACAACACCAAGGTTTGCCAGAGAGCAAACGTATTCAGCACCAGGAACACCTGCTCCCCCCACCACTCGAACCACCAAACTACCTGTCCGTCGCCTGCTCATCGCTGATTGGCCGGTGGTCAGTCGCACCTGCTGCTCCACCGCCACACTAGTTGATGTCTGGGGCCACCACGACCTCAGACCTCAGAATATCCAGTGCTTTCAACAAGTTAACACGTCTCGTTGGTAGACTAAGCTCTGGCTTATGTGTACTAAGAGAGGTGGCAGCTTAAAGCCAATATTCCTGCACCTATCTATCTGATTGTATATTGTTCACTTGTCTTAACGTAACTTTTCATTTTGTCATTTGATTATTCTTATTATTTTGATTTTATGATACGAATTTTATGTCCATTTTATTCATGTTTTGCTTTTCTAACGTAATTAAAATCTCATTGTTAAATTTACTTGTGTTTTGTGTGTCTTCCCATTACCTTACCACAGACGAAGTTCCAGATTTTCTCTTTTTGTTTCTATATGTGACGAGGCCATACCCCTAGCTTTTGAAACAGCCGAACACCAACGCGTTAGTCACTATATATAATTATATATATATTAATATATAATATACACCACAGCCTGGGAATCTTCCACTGTTCATATCGTATGTATGTACTAACCTAGTTGTGGTTGCGGGGGTTGAACTTTGGCTCTTTGGTCCCGCCTCTCAAAGTCGGTTAAAGGATATGGTTTAGTGACTCACAATTGTTATTAGTCCATAACGTGTCCATTTTGGCTTTTGCGTGAGGTACACTCAATTCCATAGAGAAGATTTCAAACGGCTATCAAAATAATCTTAACTTTGGGTATTTGTAAAAATAAAAGGAGATTGTTGATTCTCCTTTCACACTGATCCTCAAAACACTTCTAACCCATTTGTACCTAATATTTTCTTTTGGATACAAATCCTCTCGGTGTTTGTACAACCAATGTTATCAGTTAAATAGTGGCGAACATTTACCTTCAGATGGTTACTACACAATAACAATGTTGCCTTCGGAAAACAACACATAATTAAGTGCCTTTCTTAACGCGATTTCCTGATCACTACCAATCATTACATTCGAGTTGTTAACAGTTATCGAGTTTACCTTTTTTCTCCCACCTGAGAGGCAAAGTCTCGTATTCACCATCCCAGTGTAAATACATGGGCCCGAGGAATATAGGGTTGCTTGATGTTTTTGTTACTACAGTAGTGTTCTTGTACACAAGTGTTGTTAAATAACAAGGGCCAAGATTGAAAGTCCTGTCAACACCGATAACATTAGGGTTTTCCATTCCTGCAGCACACAAATGTTGCTCGAGATCTTCAAGTTGTTCCTTGGAATACAGTACCACACAGGGGACTTTGTTCGGCTTAATAATTATCTTCTTTACATAATCATGGGTATTAATCATGCTAATTACATTTAAAACGTCATCAGCAACATTGTGCCTATGAATAGGTTTGCGTTCCTTTATCTTGTCATATTTTTTACTCCTTACCTGTTGGAAGTCTCTTGGGGCTAAACATGATTCTTCCATAAGCATATTTTGATAAACCTCTCGTGGAGGTTAGATCTTAACCATCTTGCCTATATTTTCTAAAACTTCAGGCCTGGTCCGAACATATGGAATTTTTTTGTGAATTACCATGCTTCGTGTCTCCTGTTTGCCTGCCAGAGTATTCTACAATAGCTACAGACTCCAGCTCTTTAATAAGTTACTCTTTTTTTTTTAAGCTTTCCTGAACTTTGAGGACTGTGTAATAACGGTGCATTGTGGTGAGAGTATCTGGGGAGGGCTGAGGTTCTAAGGGAACCCACTGCGTTTTCCCTTTTGATAATACTTTTACAAAATCTCATTTCTCATATTAGCCTCAAACGATTATCCCATATGAATAAGGAGTTCACGGTAGTACCTCTGGCACTGCTCCACAGTCGTCTGGAAAGCTCGACCGTGTTTTGGCGCCCTTAGTAAGATGTGAATTGTCAACCACAACATGTATCTTCTTTAGGCCCATTTGGGACACTTTTAAACACCTTTCTGTTCTCTCACAAATGCCAATAGACTTCTACAGCTAAAAATTTTCCTTTGCGAAGCTTGCCAGAGCTTTCGTTATCAGTCGACAATTGAGTTTTTTTAAAGTGTCTCCTTAAAGTCAGTATTTTGGACACAAAAGTAGTAAAATCCTTTCCGACTGGAGTTGATGTATGTATACATCGGGAGTACAGATAATGGCGATTGACAAACTTAGAGGTGTGAATGTAATAGTGCTTAGTAACTGGGTATTGTCTCTGGATATGTGACCCAGTGGAGGCAAGGACATTAATGGAACAAAATGGTTAGGTGTCCATGATTTATCCCCTTCCTTGAGATTGCCGCTCCACATAATATTAATGGGATCCTGCCTGTTTCCGCCAAGGTTATAAATTAACGGTCGTAATGTAAACCGAAAATATAAATGAAAATACATACATTGATTTCAGTACTGTAATATACCAGTTATTGGAGAGTTGAGAAGCGGGACCAAGAAATGCATAATCTCAATAACCGAAAGAACAATTAGGTTGTACTGAAATTAATGTGGTGATTTATATAGTCTGTAAACAAGTACTATATCTATAAAATATAAAACTTATTTTAATTATCCTGCACTTCAAGAGACCACAAGCATTCTTATTTATTTTTGTAGGAGAAATGTTTTGTCTATTTTATGGAAATTAGTGGTGTTTGAGCAAGCTAATCAACGTCAAAAATGTTTACGTTCTTCTTCATCTGTAGTACTGAGCTCTACACATATGGGTAGCTTTGCCGCAGGCTGTTTACTGCTCTGAGAAATAAACATAAATCCACATGCCTGGAGCCCGCGGTGCCCGGCGCCTTGCTGTGGGAAGTCAGAGATGTTTATGATTCTGGTCTAGGAATACCGTGGGATTTCACCAAAATGTGTTGTATACAATGAAATGATTATACATTGCTCTTGTGAACATTGTATACAGTACCTCAAGATATAAATCCCACACCACTTAACTAGCTCCCAGATACCTAATTAATTCCCTACTCTCTGTAAAATGTATGTATGTATGTGTATCCGAGAGACAGAGAGAGAGACAGAGAGAGAGAGACAGAGAGAGAGAGACAGACAGACAGAGAAACCAATTAGTAAGTAGTTAGTAATAGTTGATTGACAGTTAAGAGGCGGGCCAAATGAGCAGAGTTCAACCCGCGCCTGCACAACTAGGTGAATACTCTCTCACCACCCACATGTGTGTTTTATGTGGATGCTGAAGTTCAGTCTCTCGTCTATGTATAGGTTTAGGAACTTTCCATAATCATTATTGCTAATGTTAACATTGTGTATCTGAAGTGTAATTTGGTTTTAGGATTCTTCCGAACAAAAATAGTAGTCTGTCTTTCATGCCAGTCCGAGTGTGGTTAAAAGTAACCTGGGAATCCAAAGATTTGTGTATGGATACGTGGTTAAAAGTAACCTGGGAATCCAAAGATTTGTGTATGGATACACATCTGGGCTTATCTTGAGTCCTTATCTTGAGATGATTTCGGGGCTTTAGTGTCCCCGCGGCCCGGTCCTCGACCAGGCCTCTACCCCCAGGAAGCAGCCCGTGACAGCTGACTAACACCCAGGTGCCTATTTTACTGCTAGGTAACAGGGGCATAGGGTGAAAGAAACTCTGCCCATTGTTTCTCGCCGGCGCCTGGGATCGAACCCAGGACCACAGGATCACAAGTCCAGCGTGCTGTCCGCTCGGCTCCCCCAGCTGGCCGGTAATAATGTTGGGACAGAACACTTGAGCCACAAAGCAAAGATGAACAAATCTATAATCTTTGCTTCCTGCTTCTAGGTAAAGTAGGCAGCAAAGTTTTGCAGCTGTGGTAATGGCAGAGAGAACCCCCAAGTTGTGACAATGGAATGAGCCACACCGGGGAATAAAGTCACCACAGGGGCTTCGAACTCGAGCCAGTTGGAGAAATGCGAGGGGAACAATGAATCTGAAAGGGGTAATCCGTGACAAAGCCAGATCCAAGTCTAATATAATTGGGGATACAAAACCAGTCCTTTCATCCGAGTCCAAGTCAGGAGCCTGCCCCCCAACCCGAGCCTGAGAATGGGGGAGGGGGAAGGGTCTGAAGCAAACTTAACTAGCAAGAATACTTTCAACCCCACATTTAAGCCCTTATTTCCACCATGGACCCACAATTAGAGGACAGTGAACATGACAAATTATCATCCTAAGCGTGCAGCCTGAATATACACCCCACAATCCTTACCTTAGGAACCATCAGTCCATCGAGATCGGGTTCAGCAAAAAGCCTCAATCGAGCACTTCAGGTACAGTACTCCGGTTCTACGGACTAGTGCGCTGTCCAGAGTCACCACGCATCAGAACATAGGTAGTCAAATGGAAGATAAATCAAGATTGGAACATAGTCCACAGGAATTAATAGCCAGAAAGGAGTGCAAAAAAGGGATCTAGCAAAAGAGGCTCCAGGAGCACAAAGCTAAAAATGGACAGGTGAAAAACTAACCCATCAAGCATCACACAAACACCCCCTTGTGCCGACAACAGACTGCTCAGTGAAGGGAGTGATGGAAGAGGGGTCAAGGCAACCCTCACCGAGTGAAGGGCGTCACAAGCACTACCCCTCATCATAAGGCGACTTGAAAATGCAGTCATCTAAGAGCACCAAGCCGTTCTACCTTGCCACCTTATCTACTTTTTTTTTAAGTAGATTATAGTGCTTACTTTTGGGATAATCGAGAATTTACTTGCCCGTTGATTCAGATTTTACGAAAAAATTCATAATGCCTTCCAATGTATTCCACTTGTAAACTATTAGGAATATATAAATTAAAAATGAAACTACAAATTTGCTTCAATATTTAACAGGATCATTCATATATACAGTATAGTAATATAATACACACATCTGCACCTTATCTAACCATACATAAATGTATATTTGGAAACAAGTCTATAAAATGCACCTTCAATAGTAAAATAAACCACTATCAGATTAAGGAACATTACAATCCAGCTAATCAATATTAGGTGTACAGGTTCAAAGTGCATTTACAATAAATCTTAAATATTAAGTACAGCACTTCCAACTCGACCTCCCCAAAACCACACATTCGTGCACTTTGGCAGACAATGACCAATGTTATTTTGAATTATTCTCAATTACAGGTACCAATTAGCCAGTGGGAAATTAGTCCCAAATTATTTCGGGGTTTTATTAACAGCACTTGACAAAACCCACTTTTCAGGACATGGTTGAACGGTCACCTCTTGGTCACTACTTGCACATGGCTTAACCTAACACTATCGTGACCCCAAGACACTTTGCCCAGCTTTGTGTTAAACTATTTACAACATTCATCTGGCACTGGCACAAAGCTGGTACTTCCATTGCACAAATTGGTTGATATTAAAAACAACCTATTTTACAAGACACACACAAGTCCTGCAAAATCTATCACAAATGCCATTCATGTCTAAAACCATTTAAATTAAAAGGCACTGGTAACATGGCACATGGCAAGACATAGGCTAATATTTATAAAATTGTACCTCAATATTTTACAACAATAATGCCTTTTAAATAAATAGGTCTAAACAAATTTTTAAACTACATTTACAGAACTCAAAACACATACAAATTAGTTTCAGCCATAGTCGTAAACACTCACAAGCATTTAAAGTTAGTCAGCCGTATTCAAACCTCGTAGAACCGTTCTATCGTTTCGCAGTATTTCTGCGCAACAACTGGTCTCTTCAGCTTCATTGTGGGTCCTGTGGAGATTAGAAAAGTTAAAATATACCACACACAATATGGGAGGGACAGGGAGGTAGAAATAGTCAAAGTTCTCAAACTTAACTAAGCGATAGTATGCCAAACAGGGTACCTAAGGAAAACTTGGCAAGTTCAAATGATTATCCATTTAGTTATTCAAATACTCTTCAAAATTTTAAAAACTCAAGTACTAATATTCCCAACCCACCTCTCAAAGCACAGTGTATTTACAATATCTGCTATTCATATTTTTTGTAAAAACATACGTAACAGCCTTTTACACCGACAGTAAAAATTTATCAATTTATTCAAGTTTTAGTGCAAGGAAGGACAGGTCTAGCACTAATATTTTCTAGTGCCCTTACACTTATAATGCGGCCTTTCTAATTGTCATTCATCAAAGCGGCACTTTTCCAAATCCTGAGTCATGGCACACCACAGTAGGCTAGTTGTAATCTTGTGCAAACGTAATTAGTTGTCACCTAACTTCTCATTAAACTAGTATCTAGAGCCAAGATACCCGCTTTCAGTTGACAATGAAATCCATGCGTGTATCTAAATTACAACCGCAATTATTTCAAGGTACAAATGTTGAAAAATGGTACATTAGAGTAGTTGTGCATTTGTTCTTTGTTTTAAAAGGTTCATAATTTTTTAATTTTGAGATGCTGTTCATTCCCTTTGCATTTGTTATCTTATATAAAAGAATTTTTACATTCTTGCAAAGCCACCAGTCTGCACAATGTTTCGGGTAGATCCTCAATACTAATTTTTTCCAGGAATACGATCTGTCAAATTGTTTAACAAATGATACTTTTAGAACAGAGCCAATTTCAATCATGATCAGCTCAGGGTTATGCTAGGCATGCATAGCTTATTAATTCAGAATACACCCAGCATTATTTCTTACCTTAAAACAGATTAAAATATTTTACAGTACAATGCTCATCTACATAAACGATCTATCAGAAGGAAAAATTATTTGAACACATTTACAGATGCTAAAGTACTGGAGAAGATTTTAATGCCCTTCAAATCTATCTGGATAAAAGTGCTTGGAACGTAAAGTGGCAGATGGAATTCAATGTGAATAAATGCCGATCAATAGACCACACACAAATTATGTGGAATTAAATTACATAAGACTTGGCTTACTATTCAAAACCACCCCTGACACCAGAAGAACAAAGAATATTGTGAGGAACGTATGCGTCGCTTTCAAACCTCAGACTTAATTATATGGATGGTGAAATACTAAAACTGTTCATGACTTTAGACCAAAACTGAAATATGTAGCAGTTGTATGGTGCCCAAATCTCAAGAAGCACAAAAACTGGAAAAGATGCAGCTGCATGCTACAATATGGCTTCCGGAACTGAAAAAACAAGAGTTACGAGGAGACTACAGACATTAAACCATACAGAAACTAGAAGAAAAAGAAGTGACAATCACCATACAAAATTCTTACAGGAATTTACCAAATTGACAAGAATTCCTGAAACCAGAATCATGAACAAAAGGACAGATTCAAGCTAAGGAAACAAAGGTGCTAAAAACAATTAGAACATTTTCTTTTGCAAACAGTGGTAGACAGAACAAGCCAAGTGAGGCTAAAGCTGTCAGTAGTTACAAAAGTACTGGGAAGACGGGACACCATGAGCATAGCTCATTCTTGTAACTACACTGGTAATTACTTCAAGAGAACCCTTCAAAAACACCAAGGATGAAGTAAATATACTCTACGGCAGGCTTGTCAAACCGAGGGTCCCGAGGCCCACATGGGTCATCTTTGTGTTGTCATGAGGGCCACACATGACAACTATCTAAATCATTTAATAAAAATTATCGAATGGCTTCCTGCCAAACCTTCGGATGGCCACATAGTAGTTGCTCTTGCATATACTGTATCTACCATTGAACGCAAACTGCATGTGCTGATTATGTACTACCAATACACAGATTAATATTATAGCTTAGTTCAAAACATTTCTTAATATGGAACTAGTAGTAGTTAAGTACAAGTGTTTACGTACCAAGTTCTCCACCGGGTAAAGAGAAGTCTCTTGGAAGAATAGTCCACTTCTGTATTCTTTGAGCATTTGAAGGGGCCAATTTGTTTGCACGATCAATACCATCCTGGATTGCTCTCATAATATTAGCATCTGGACCCGCCAAAACATCTTGTATGGTTTTGGCCATTGACCCAACGCTACGACACCAATCAACACAGGAAGAACTTAGGGTATCTAGAGGTTCCCCACTGTCGAGATTCACGTTTGTCTATAAAAATAAGATCAACAAATTAGACATTTATCCTGTTTAAATATACGCTTTCAAGTAGAAATTTAATATTGTATGACTTCACTGGTACAGCAACCATTTAAAATATCACTACCAAGCATAGTTTATTCAAATTTAATCAAATTTATAGTTAATGAATGTGCACTACATGTCAAAAACAGGACCACATACAATTACAGAAATCTATTACACAGTGCCAAGTGATAAAAGTTATGAAACCAGATTAATAAGTTAAATTTAGATTAAAAAGTCTGTATAGTCTAACTCCCTTCCATTAGCTCACTCAGAACCAAATCGCAAGTTCCTCTAAGAGGATATTACGAAATACCTATCAAACTATTAAGCTACTGTCACCACCCCCTCCTCCACCCTTTCCATATATTAACTAAATTCCAAAGATACCAAAGGACTGCTGCTTCCACAATCCAAATACTATCATTTTTTTTTATAGCATCTCAAATTAATATCCGATCTCTGGCAATGACGGCCTTGTCACGCATTTTACATAATTCACAGTTTTTACTCTAACATAGAAAGGAAGCAAAGAGGCCGTGTGTTGGAGTGTAGCAGTTAGACTTATAATAGTATCTTTGTTATCTTGAGGTTATCTCGAGATGATTTCGGGGCTTTAGTGTCCCCGCGGCCCGGTCCTCGACCAGGCCTCCACCCCAGGAAGCAGCCCGTGACAGCTGACTAACTCCCAAGTACCTATTTACTGCTAGGTAACAGGGGCATTCAGGGTAAAAGAAACTTTGCCCATTTGTTTCTGCCTCGTGTGGGAATCGAACCCGCGTCACAGAATTACGAGTCCTGCGCGCTATTCACCAGGCTACGAGGCCCCCATAAAGTCCACTTCTGTTTTCTGAGAAGGGGGAGGGCAGGGAAGTGACGGTAGGACCTTAGAGTTATCGTCACAGAATAAGCATAACTCTTAGTACATAAGATTTGTTTTCATTACTCAGAACTATTTGCCAGCTATCTTCTTCCATACTTAGAAAAGGAAAACATTTCCGTGCATTTAAAACTTACTACCTCCAAAACCATCTCAATTTTTATCTTGCAGATTTAATTAGTTCCCCATCAAAACTTGGGATACCAATGATAGACTATCAAATATTTTTCCACAAATGGACACCAACTTTCTTGCACAAAATACCAAAATGATTTGCCATCTTTTGTGAGGTCTCTTCACTAAGCCATGTACCCCCAACATTGCCCAAATGCTTCGTTCAATAACCTTAAATTCAAGTGACGTATCGAGTAAATCACTCTGAACTGCCTCCCTAACCTATTTATAAACTTAAAAGCTCAATTTTTTATTTTCTCCAATCGAACCTTATTCGCATGCTCTTAAAATAAAATTTTTAACTGCCCTTAAGAAATTTTTAAATGGAACCAGTGAAATACTTCAAAAACACCAATAAAATATAAGCTAGGAATGCAACAATCTCATAATAGCTATAACCATGATATTACAGTATTTTTACTAGAAAAAGTGCATAGTATTAGAAACTTACCTTTATTGTCAGAAGAATGGAGAGGAACTTCCGCTTGTCGCCAATCAGCATGCAATTGCTAAGACATGGCAGTTCGGCTTTCAGGTTGTCCTCGATTAGCACTGGGGCTATATTTTCACCACCAGCCGTGATGATAAGTTCCTTTATGCGACCCGTAATAAACAGAAACCCATCACTGTCAAGCCTGCCAATATCACCGGTGTGGAGCCATCCCTCATCATCAATAGCCTCATTTGTCTTGTCTTCCATGTGTAGGTAGCCCATGGAGACGTGGCGACCCCCCATGCACACCTCGCCATTACCTTCAGGGTCAGGCTTATCCAATTTTGTGTAGCAACCAGGAATAGTGCGCCCACAGCTGCCTAGTTTGAACGCTTTCTCCATGCCGATAGTATGTGGGCCAGTCGATTCAGACATGCCATATATTTCTGTAAGAGGAATATCTAGGCTATGGAAGTATCGCAAAATTTCTGGGGCAATTGGTGCAGCCCCGGAGAGAAAGAGCTGACAGCGATCTAGTCCCAATAATGCTTTAACTTTCTTGAAAACTATAGCATTAGCGACAGCGTACCCAAATGGCTTCGAGAAATCCTGTCGCTGTTTGCGTAAATTGGTTTCCAGTCCAAGTGATTTGGCCCATGTAGCTATCGATTTTTTCATACCAGTAGTTTTGCGGCCAACTTCCAACATCTTCTCGTAAATCTTCTCCCACACACGAGGGACGCCCAAGAACCTAGTAGGGCGTACTTCTTTCAGAGTTTGGGCCAAACTCCCTTTTAAGGCATCTGGTTGGGCAAAGAAACAGGTGCCACCAGCATACATGGGAACGTACAGGTCAGCCATCTGTGCAGCAACATGGGAGAGTGGCAAGAAACTTAAGAAAATCTCTTTTCCTGGATTGAAATCAGCATTAACACAGTTTGCATGTGCGGTAAATGTGATATTGTCATGACTAAGCATAACACCCTTAGGAGGCCCAGTGGTACCCGAAGTGTAAATGAGAGTACAGCATTGATTTATTGCCATGTGCTTCAACCTGGCTTCTAGTTCACTATCGGCCTGCTCTTTACCTAAAGCCATGGCACTTTCCCAACTCAAAACACCATCCACAGTTGGTTTGCCAGAGTACTGGATTATTGCTTTCAGCGAAGGAAGACGCCCACGAATCTTCAGAACCTTATCTAATTGCTTCTGATCTTCAACCACCCAGATTTGTGCTTCACAGTTATGAGCACAATGTTCACATGCTTCAGGAGTGTTTGTGGTGTAGATTCCTGCAGCAAATCCACTGCAAAAAATAAAATAAGCTTTCTAAAAACACTCACCCAAGTTATATGCATCACCTAGACCATAATTTAAAAGGTTACTGTACTAAATTATCACACAATCATGATAACGTACAAAATGATTATGTACGCGATTAGCATTTTCCTGGATGGCAATTTTTTCATGCTCTTAAAAAAATTAATTCTAATTCAGAATTAAGACTGTGGGGTGCACAGGTAAGCATCAGTGAGCAATCTGGTGCATCTATACTTTATTGTAAAGCAATTTTAGATAATGTTAACTAAAAAAGAAATTTGTTTATACTTTGAACTTATTGTCAATCAACTTTACTCAAATTCTGCAAATAAGGATTCCATAAGACACCCAATAACCAAATTATGTGCAGATTTAAGCAAGGAATAAAACGCTGCATCAAGTAGTCTTGTGTGCCTACACCAGTTTTAACATTTACAGGTAAAATGCCAATAACCAATAATTTAAAATTTCCAACAGTTGGCATTCAAAGCAAAGAACTTTGCATGACCACCTGGCCTCTTGTACCACCATCTGTAACTATTTTATCGACTCGGGTGTTCTGGACGACATCCTAACAATATATCCAAAATTTGCTTGTCCATTTTAAAGAATGAACAATTTCTATTTATATTACTTCTAAGCTGCATCACTTATGAACCCATCCCTGCCCTTGTGTGGCAGTGCACAGTAGAAAGTGGTTTTCACATATCCATACATTAAAACATTGATTGTAACCATGATATATATGTACTTCTGCCTACAGTTTAGACCTATTGTCTTATGCACGACTGTCCTGTGTAACTGAATACCAGCATTATCCTCACCTTAAGACAATCGAAATCCTCAGATTGGGCAAAATTGTAATTAATTTTGTCAATAAAGATGTTAATAAACTTACCCAGCAAAGACGGCCGCCAGGTCTGAAATAAACCATTCGGGTGAATTGAAGCCCAGGATACACACTGCATGGTAGGACTCCAGACCAAGCTTTATGAAGGCTTTGGCCATGATTCTAACTTGATCATAATATTCTTTGTAGGTAGTATTTTTCCATTCACCACCTCTCTTCACTGACAATGCACACGTGTCAGGGTACCTATGGGAGTACAGGAAAAAATATTAATTTTATTTTGCGGAGTTAGAGATGTCGTCCATTTACTAGTTATGAACAAAACGTTTGCATGTTACCACGAGAAAACTATGCCCATTGCTTTCTAGTGGCATAAGTAATGTCACTAGACTAGGAACAATGAATAGTGAACAGGTACTATGCAGAATGAATGAATTTGAGCTAAAGCGTCAAGAGCCTAGTGATAATATTGAAATACTACTACCAAATTTCATAGCAACTTTCACTGCTTTAGAATAATTTTCCATATGTTAATTTAATAGTAAAGTTCCTCTTTAAAGCACCTACACAATACTTTACAAAAGTTGTGCCCTATGCACTACACTAGGGCATTTACGCAATGAGATCTCCAGGTGCCAATACAGCAAGTCAAATGTTTTAAAAATTTATTTGCATAAATAACTCTAGGCCATGTTACTGCCAAGCAGCTCTAGTACAGAGGCATTTGTGCAGTAATTTTTCCAAGTTATTAAATACAACAGAACCTAGGTCCTGTAACCTAGGAAGTCGCCAACATTAATAGCACTTCAGGCAGGTCCTTAATCTAACATATCGGACAAGATGAAAAGGTACATCGTAGCAAAGTTTTATATCAACATAAAACTAGTAAATTGACAGGTGATTACACTGTTTAAGATACGTGTCTTTAGTACTAATATGGGGGAAGTGGGTAGTAAGACGGTGCGAGTTTGAAGCACAAGGTAGGAAACCAAGGATGAAATTAGGTACTTTGCTTTTGAACAAGGCATAGGTTGGACAATTTAATTTGTTGAGCGAGTTCCATAGACAGTCACTATTTGCATGAAGTGTTTGAACAGATTTAGTTAGACTCTGGGGAGGATATCCAATTTATTTCTGGTGTAGTGCCCAGATTTTATTATTATCTGAAACATTTCCTTGATATTAGGAACACTTAGGAACAAGGTTTTATACATGTTAATATCACACGAGTGTGTAGTGTTTAGCATGTTAAGGGATTTTTGCCGAGTGTTGGTTGGCTCGAGGTAATTTGTAGTGGTTGAACCCCATGCAGATACTGTATGCAAAATAGAGGTAGATTAGCTCTGAGTATAGTTAGTAGGGGAGGGGGGACATAATATCCGATTTTAGAGAATATACCAACCATTTGACACTTTGGCTGTGTTTGTGTGTGAAGTTCAGTCTCTTATCTATAAAGAACAAGGAAGGCCAAGGAACTTTTCCTCATTTTTATTGCTAATGTTAACATTGTCTATCTGAAGTTGAATTTGATTTGATTTGATTTGATTTACAGTCAAATGTAGGTCATTTCTATGTTCAGTGTGTGAGTTTGTTGGTTGGTTGACATCCATGTATACAAGAAACAGAGGTACTAAGATGCTGCCCTGTGGCACTTCTACTGTTTATGGTAAAGTGGAGGTGGTTATGTTATTGATGGCTACATATTTGTGTTACATATAGGAATGAACACACAGTAGTTTAAAGTAAGGGAACTCCATTTGTCAAGGGTTTAGATTATATTAAGCAGACTAATAAAGGCATCATTGGTATTTTTTTTTTGGTGGGGGGTTGAACAGAAGCCAAACTGGCTGGGACTTTACATAGGTTGTATAGATTTACAAAGCGTTTGTATGCCTTTATAAATGGCTGTATTTGTAAATATTTGTAAACAATTTTCAAATAATTCTGAAAGTATAGGTAGATTTGATAGGTAGTATATAGGTAGATTTGTCTCATTGTTTACGTCGGCCATCTCTTCCATTTTGTGAATTGGCATTACTCTTGCTTTAAGGGCATCTTTTAAAAGTATGACATAAGGAAGAAATAAGTAGATTCGTTGAACAGCAGAGCTACGGGTAGTGCAAGGCAGGGGCAGCACTCAAACCATTGATGGTACTGTATTTCACTAATGTTCACAGCCTTGGTTTTTAAGCGATTGAATTATAGATAGTGTCGGGCTGACTTAAAAGGAGTAGCGAGTTAGGATAGCTGCCAGCGAGATGTGCAACACCGTGTGTCTGGGGTCTTTTGTATTTTTTCCTAGTAAGGTTAGCACCAATTTATGAAAAGCAGCCATTAAATACAGCTGCTTTTTATAAGTGTTGCAAGTGTGTAATACTCTTGACAATTTTATATGCTTATGCAATTTTTTTTTTTTATCCTAGGATGTTAGAGATGGCTTTCCGTGTACTTCAAAAGAACCTTTGGCTTTGTATTATATTGGTATGAATTTAGGAGTATACTTTTGTAACTAGGCCAATCCTATTTGTTTTCTATATTTGCATTTCTTGTTAATTGCTTTAATAAGTACGCCACTTGTGAACTAGGGGTTGGTTTAAGCTTTTGGCAGTTACTTGCTTAGTGAGGAGAGGACTAGTTTTAGAGGCTTAAGAGCCAGAGAAAAATTGTCTGCTAACGAATTTATATCTTGTGTTATCGCGTTCATTATTATTACATTATTGCATTATTATATTGTGTTCATTAAGTGTATTATTAGGATTACAGTTGTGTTTTAACAGTCCACCCAAAGCAACAGCAGTCAAGTGAATGCTTGATCAAGGCCTCTTATTCAGTAATTCAACCTTTTTTCCACCACATTACTCTTGTAAAGTACAGTAACATGAAAAATTAAATAAAGTGACAAAGGTACTGTATTTACAAAGTTGTATTGTACAATTAAAATGGATATTTTTTTGCCAAGGAAATTCGCATCAAATGCCAAGTTCAATCCATTTCAGTTTCTTTTCATCAGATAAGGAAATTTTACACCTTGCACATCTGGGCAGGTTTTACATTTGTTTGAATGAAAGAATATAAAGTAATTAAGCTCTGGTTATGATATGAACAATCAAAAGTAGAGGAACTGGTCAATAAGATGTACCATTTAAAATGACAAATTCCTTGACTAGTTACACACAGAAATCACACTAACGTGATGCATCAAATGAACAAATCCACAAGGGCGATGACGAGGATTCGAACCTGCGAAGCATCCCAGACACTGCCCTAATCGACCGAGCTACAACAGGGTCTTTTAACCCTGTCGTAGCTCAGTCGATTAAGGGAGTGTCTGGGATGCTCCCGGGCGCAGGTTCGAACCCTCGTCACAGCCCTTGTGGATGTGTTCCTTTACTAGTTGCACAGGAGTGTACCAAGTGCAAAATGCACAAGTGCAGTCTAGTGTGCTTGCCAACATGTGTTACACAAAACTGTTGAACAGTTACCATTAGTTTAAATCAAGAAAAATAACGTTTATAAATTTTACTAACTTCTCGGCAGTATTTTTGAGAAGTGTAGGCACAGAAACTGGAGTGTGTGCCGAGGGTCCCTGGTCGCCAATCTTCAGCTTTGTAGCCCCAGTGGGTTCCCAGGTTTTTATGCTGTTTGTTGGAATTATCTGATCTGGTCCTGGAAAATATCACAGTAATCTGAATTAGGGATACTAGTTTTTTTTTAAATTTCCTTTTATGTAAAAATTTAGGAGTGGGGGAGGGGGATGAAGGTACATTACTAAATTGAACCATAGTTATTTGCCCCCCTTTCAAGAAACCTTGAAAAGTGCGCATGCACAAAATTGTGTGACAAAATTTATTATGATGTTCAAATGGGTTCAAGAACCACACAAAAGCCAGCACGTTTGATATGAAACTAGTTCACTACAGTGAATTTTAACCACCTTATTTGCATATACAGTACTGTACTTTAAAGTCCTCAAGAATACAATAAGTCACCACACTTCAATTATGTTCATTCAAAACTTGAAGTCTTAGAGTGTAGCCTACTAAGTGTAACCTTTCATTAGGTTACAATACCAACTTATGGTACAAATGAGTCGTGCATGTGAACAAGGCGGCCATGTACAATAAGCAATTTTTTTCACATTTTTCTACAATTTATGTACGTTAATACTTTAAAACATTTTCATCAATCCAGCTACAGTGAAGAACAAATTCCTTCCAAGCGGCCATTACCCCATCTGTACCGCATTATGACTAAAAAATAGGAAGAATGCCAGAAATTTGGAGTCTAAATTCCAGTTCATATTTCTATACCTTCGGGACCTTCGCCAAGCCGCCGGCTTACTGTCTTCGTCGAGGTCACTAGTGTTGTAGTCACTAGTTATGGCTGGTAAACTATTGCATAGTTTACCAGCCATAGTTTTTTCTATTGCATAGTTTATTTCAAATTTCTCTCAGTCCTGTGAGGACAAACTCACAGGAACACAGTTCCTGTGAGTTTCTGGCTTTAAACAATTTTCCTTCAATCATTATTACTAAAGGTTATCAATACAACAATTTTGAATGTGGAATAAAATTAAAAAAAATTTAATTCTGACAAGGAACTAAACCAGAACCACATCAGCATCTTAATTATTACACAAACAATTCTGACCAGCTAATGGCTATACTACCACACTCACCATTGAGATATTTAGTCTGCTTTATGGGTGATGGGAACATTGTGTTGGAAGCAGCAGGTGACCTAGTTGGAGGTTCAGGAGTGGCAGAATGAGCAGAACTGGTTTCTGGAGTGTCTGGTCTGGCTTCAGAGAAAGATGAAGATGGTTCTGATGACAAACTCTCCTGTTCTACCTCGCCTTTCTGTAAAAAAAGGAAGTCTCAATTCCACTGATAACACATTTTAAACATTTCATAATCAATGACTAATAAAAATCTCATTCTCCAATTCAAAAATCTCAAATCAAACTGAAATTGACCAAATCATTCCAGCCCGTCCCCCAAACAGATCTAAAAGCGATTCCATGCACCTGCCAAACCCCGTTTATGAATGAAAAACGGTTTACACAACTGATTTCGTTCGAACATTTCTGGAACAAGTGCTTCACAGACTAATTTTGTTCGAACCACAACGCTATAAGTGCTTCACCCACGTACTACAAATAATCTCCAACAGAACCTAAACACCTAACCTATGCCTATAAATGCACAATATGCCATTATATTAATTTATATTTGAGAAAATTCATGCTTTGAATGAACAGCATGTTAAAATTGATGAATGCTTCAGTGGGGTCGACTGCTGGATGTAATGGACTAGGACGGGTTGATCATTCTATAAGTTTCACTGCACAGACTTGCTCCAAGCCTTTACCAAAGGCTTGGAGATTAATACTTTGAAATTAATTACAGCTGCAACTAAAAACCATGTACCAGGTTTGTAATATTTACCAAGAGAAAAACAACACTTTGCTGCACTGTTGAAAGTCATCCTCAGTCCATAATTATTACTACTACACCCATCCTACTCTAGATAAAGAACCCATATATGCTTCATTTAAAAAAATAATGAAGCCAGATTGATGTCGTCGAACAATCTTCCCCTCATACCAACAGCAGTCCTCCTGGCGAAGCGGTAAGACACTCCAAGGCGTTTCGCGAGCGCTTTGGCATAGGTTCGAATCCTGGCCAGGGAGGATTCACCGGATGCCAGTCCTAATTAACTGTAGCATCTGTTCACCCCTGTTAAACAATTTAGCGGGTCGCATTCGTGGAAAATAAGGATTATGGACCTGCCCGAAACGCTATGCGTGCTAGTGGCTTTACAAGAATGTAAGAACTCTTCGAAAAGAGTATCTTAAAGGAATTTTTATGGTCGCCTTTGAGCAACCGGTGCACTAACCTACCTAGCACTAGAAATAGGTTAGCGTAGGTCAAGCGTAGTGTAGGTTTAAGTGTAGGGCTAGACATGTGTATGAATGAGATTAGGTGGTTATAAATAGGTTCTGCCTCGTATGGACCAATAAGCCTTCTGCAGCTAACTTCATTCTTATATTATAGACACTTCTAACCTATGCTTGAAACAAGGGATTCCACGTTTCATAAAGAGGTAATTGGTTATAATTAATAAATAAAAATAAGAAAATAGACAACCCTGTTACCGAACCAGTATTTACCCAGGTCTTTCGTAAATCTAAACTTAAAAAAGTGAATAAATTTTTTGTGTTCTGTCTAGTGTTTATTAATAACCTATTAATATTCCCTTTGTTATGGACATTCATCTACTTTTACAACTATCATGTCACCCCTAATTCTTCACCTAGAGTTGAAGTTGACTAGAGAAAGAGGAAGCTGGCACAGTGTAGGCTATAAGCATGAACTGCAAATTTAGTTTTATATGCAAAAATTAACTTAACTGCACAATATCTACACGTGGCAGCTAATTATAGCTACCCAAACGCATACATGTCTAACCTGCGCTTGAATCAAGGTATCCCACACGCCTATGTTAAGTTGGTAATTGATCTCGCAAATCAATTTTCCAAACCATTATTTACCCAGGTCTTTCCTAAAACTAACGCCCAATTTTCAACCATCGTTTCCTAGTTCTTAGTCGATATATAATGCCTATTATAATGCCTATTATAATGCCTAATCATAATGCCTAATAATGTGTGATTACGTCACTATATAAGGGTCCAGAACAGACCTAAACGGGAACATTTCTCTATCGTCTGACGTGATTTGGTCACACGTGCCAGCCCGTCCTCCAAACGGACCCAAAGTAATTCCATGCAGCCGCCAAACCGTGTTCATGAATGAAAAAGGTTTACACATGACTGATGACATCCGAACACTTCCGGAACCAGTGCTTCACTGACGACTTGTGTTCGAACCACAACGCTGTAAATGCTTCACCCACGTACTAATACAAATAATCGCCAACAGAACCTAAACCTCTAACCTATATATGCACAATATGCTTTTACAATGAGAAAATTCGTTTTGAATGAACAGCATGTAAAAAATTATGAATGCGTCTGTGGGGTCGACCGCTGGATGGAATGGACTTGGTTGCATGTGCTTGTTCGGTTAATTGTTATTGTTAAACTATTTGGCAGGTCGCCAAAAGAAAAAAAACTGGTTCGGTAACGTGGCTGATTTGTGGAATTAATTACCGCGTAACATAGTAGGATCCCTCGATTGTTTCTAGCGTAGGCTAGACGCTATGAGAAAAATGGGAGCTGCCTCGTATGGGCCAATAGGCCTTCAGGAGTTACCTTCATTCTTATGTTACTTTTCTGAACCGTGCAGTTTAAAAGACTGCAGATATACCCCAAAAATCTCTCACGCACAGTTGATTGACAGTTGAGAGGCGGGACCAAAGAGCCAGAGCTCAACCCCCGCAAACAACTAGGCGAGTGTACACACCACCGCTCCCGTGCCAGGCAAGTCCACTACGGGATCACCATAGCCCGTGCTACTTGCCCCGCTCCCGTGCCAGGTAAGTCCACTACGGGATCACCATAGCCCGTGCTACTTGGAACTTGTTCAGAGTAGCTGAATCTATAACCCAAAATTTCCACCACAAAGTATATGGGACAGAAAAATAATTACTTTACCTTTAAACAATCTAGTTCTCTAACCTATTATCCGAACACTAAATCGTGACTAAGTATATTAGTTCAATCCTAAGTGTCCAATCGGGTTGATTCTAGTTTATTATGCGCCCCATAATTGTCCATGGAGGCGGTAGTTTAAAATGTTAAGTCACAATGGGCTCGGGCATTAAAAATTATTCAAGTCTTGATAAGCTAGTGTCACGCAGTTTAACGAGCATTATATCAACAATGGGTTCGAGAATGACCCACAAGAGGGCTCTTTCAAGCTAAGCCACTTAGAATTACGGGGAGCTAGTTTCATAGCTTTATTTGCTTATGCAACCTCTCCAAGTACGGGGCAAGGTTACTAACTCTGCATGTACTACTACAGTTAAATAGTACGTGGCTACAGTTAAAAGTAAGAGCCGTCTAAATTCATGACCCTTTCCGCATTCTATCGCAAAGGTCATGCGAATAATTGAGTCATAAAAAATTACATTTTGGAGGTTTACGGCTCGTACTCTGGTATGGAAATTTGGTTTCCTGAGAATTATATAAACTATAAATTCAGTACTCTTTTTTTATACACAATTATACATTATAAATATTGTATATTAATAAAAACGCTTATATTTGGGCAGGTCTACATCGGCAGGTAGGGTAAACTCCCAGAAATACTTTTAAAAGCAAGCCAGACAGAAGTAACATACAAGGATGTTTGACAGTTACAATATCCTGGACGATCCATATAGTTTGTGGCTGCATTATTGTACGATAAGATGGGACAGCTAGTGTAGATTTCACCTTTCTACAATGTTTAAGACAAAACTTGTAAATCCGGTTAGGATTCTCCAAGGATCTTTGTACATCTAAGAGGCATCAGGTACCCTGGTGGTTTGACTAGTCGCTACCAACCATCCTGGGAAGGTAGGATGGTTGTATGGTCGTCGACCAGAGAAAGGCAGCTAACCCAAACTGTTTAGGAATCTCCTACACGTATATTGAATTTGGCTCTAGATTAATTCCACTAGTACGAAACCATTCGTGTACATATATAGCTAGATAGATAGAAGTCATATTTGAAGGACTTGTTGCAGTCAGATACGGAGGGAGTTATTGGGAGGGTGACCTAGAATCACCTAGTTGAAGGTGGGGGGGGGGGGAGTATGATTAATGTACCATTGCAAACTCACTTGTCACCGAACAATGACTTCCTAGCGTGCAGAACTACCACGCTTACGGGATGAGCTACATAATAATCGCCAAAAGATTGTGCTCAAAGTCTCCAAGCTGGATACGAGGAGTCCAATCTGCAAGTGAAACTACAAAAGTACCAAGAAACTCAAAAGCAACTTACGTATCAATGTTCCATGTTAAACAGTCCAACGGTTGATATCACGACTAACTGATCGATCACTAAACTGTTGCGAGCGGCACTTTTGTTCCAGCGTCACCCATAAGAGGCAGCGAAGACACTGCCACCTTTCACCCACGAGCCCTCAGCACTGACCTCGTCCAACAACGCCCCCTGCCCAACCGGTGCCCAGCTCCACCGCCAACCATCCAAGATTAGTGACGTCAAGGTCCGAGCTACACGTCATAACTGCGTCAGCTAACTACACGGTACAGTTATGTACCTGTTAGCAGGTACATAACTGCTTACTGTCAACTGTTCAAAAACTAGAAGCTCAAGACAATTTTGTTTTTCTGTACATGTCTCTCAAGGACAAATGTAAATATTTACATTATCAATATACTTGCTTGCGCCTTAGTCATATGCTGGCAGCCATAACCGTTCTATTTCTGGACCTTGTCAAGCGACAGGGCACCAAGATATGCCAGTGAGGAGCTATGATGTCACTTGTGCATGAAAGCCTATTCCCCATGCACATGGGTGTTGCACTATCTGAACACCTTTAACCAACTTTGTGACAAGTTGGTCTCATTTACCCTCTCAAATCTCTAGTCTCGTCCAAAGGGAGGTACAAACCCATTTAGCAATGTTGCAGAGGTAGTTCTTCCCAGTTTCCACTGACAAAAAATATCCAGTCTTCTATATACATTGTAGATTAGGGACATAATTTTTACCTCTTTACAAGCAATAATTCTGAATATGTACACCGACAAATGTATATAATATACAATGGCAGACAACAATAATTCGCAAACTCAAGTCTCTAATGTTTACATTCTGTGCATTCTTTCAGTTTCTCAGAATATCAATCTTGTTTGCGCTATGTTATTTGAGAAAAACCTATACAATCCGTTACCTATAAACTAGGAATTTACAGCCTGGGCCATACACACTAATGTGCATCAATTTAACCCCTTCACATTTTTTTCAATCACCAGTTTCATACTAATATTACACCCAGTAGTATTTTGTATCAACGCCGAAGCCTCATATGTATAGTCATTGCCCATTTTAAAATTTTCTAAAGTAAAACACCTAATTCCATTTAGTGTTTCAGTTTCACTTTTAAATACTTCGTATTTGCAAAGATGATTTGACACTTAACACGTTTCCAAGAATTGAGTCGGTTACACTTATTTCAAAGATCATATGCCTCATTACCTTAAACTAACAGCTGTTCTAGCACAGTAACCGATAAACCTTAGCATTTTATTTGTATTTGAAGCTTTGTTTAGTCCATTCCTTGCCATGAGAGTAAAGGCAGGAGCAATATACCACAGCAGGATTAACAGTATATCAATCCCTTAGACATATTTGATAAAATCTGTGCCAATTTAGAGCCCTTGCTTCAAATGGTATTGAACACTGACTCCAAAGCAACAATTAACGGCATTTATAACATTACCAATTCCTAAATACCTCGGGCCAGATTCACGAAAACACTTACGAACCTGTACATCTTAATCTTTGACTGCTTTGTTTCCAAATATTAAACAGTTAATGAGCTCCGAAGCACCAGGAGGCTGTTTATAACGAAAACAGTTGATTGGCAAGTTTTCATGCTTGTAAACTGTTTAATAAATGTAACCAAAGCCGTCAAAGATTAAGGAAATATGTACACGTTCGTAAGTGCTTGCGCAAGTGCTTTCGTGAATCTGGCCCCTCGTTCCAGGACGTCAATGCTTCTTCCGTTTGGTAAACTGCCCTTCCCCTGTTCCACTCCAACGCTACACTGTGCCAACCACCAGCACAATCCAGTCAAAACTGCTGTCATTCTTGCCGTTTAAGATTCAGCTACTGGGAACAAAAAATTCCAAGTAGCACGGGCTATGGTGAGCCCGTAGTTCATTCTTGCTTGGTAGGACACTTGCCTTTCTCCCCAGAGTGCCGCGCACGGACGTGGGGGATGGGGGAGGATGGAAGGTAGGGTTAAACGATCTTGTTGCTACTAAACCATTGTTAAAAAGACAATTTAGAGGGCACTTAATTTTCCACCTCTCTTAAAGCAACGACGTTAAGAACTAGGCCTGGTAAATTTAATATATGCCTTGGGAACTTTGTATAGCTAATGCTACTTAAGAATAGTTTCTTAAATGGCGTCTATGCCTAATGTTACGCCTATGTATGCCTAATGTTAGATTTTATGCTAAATACTATATCTGCCATTGTTAGGCAGCTAGTATATTTACAAACTTTACAACAAGTTACAGGAATATCTACGTCCCAATGACCTCAGCTCTAGGAGAAACTAACCCTGGACCCTTGATATTAATATACGTCCATATTTATACAAATATTAGTCGATATTTAACGCTAGATCTAGCTGACTAAATTAGGGTGGGAGAAATCTTGCCTAGTGCAGGCTAGAAAGGTGGCTAGTGGGACGAGTTGCCCCCAGCCCACCTCACGCCATACTATAAAAAAAGGTAGACCATGATACAGCTATCCTTCAGACTAGGCTCCTTACCATCTGGTCAGCATTTCAAATTCTTTAACCGTAGTTCTAATTCCGCATATTAAAGTTACTACACTAATGAAAAGGGAGCCGGGATCAACCTAGGGCACGGAGGAATTATCGCTAAAGTAGCCTATGGTGGCGTGTGGCGTCTGAAGCCAAACTTACCGCTTGGGTCCAACCTAGTTGCCGGCATTCAACGCGCTCTGCCATTCACTGGTTTTTTTTCAACCAAGATGTTTTTGCCATAGAACCATAATTTGAACCCGTCACACCTATTTACCACCCTTTGAACAAGATTCATGATGTTTTCTATACCGGAAATAGTGTAAACTCCAAAAATGTTTGGTTGTCTAGAAATTAACCTGTCAAAAAGATAAGCAATGACAACAGGTCATAAAATCTACCGTCAACCAAGACTGTGGTACAGCCAAACTTGTACCATGGCTTTCAACATTACACTAAGTTCGCTTTAACAAATCTTTTAACGAACAGGAAGTGAAATTACCAGGAACCAAACTGGCAGATAACCCGACTTCCGGAAGGAAGTGGTCTCATACCCGACTCTTCCACTTCAACACAATATTACCATCATATCTGATACACTCAGGCTTTGGTATCTTCACTAAAACAGGCTTACACTAAAACCCCACTGATACACGTTCCAATGTGTGAATTACCAATCATTATAGACGCATAAACTGCTTCACGAAAGATACAATCTAGCATTCAGTTCACTTACCGTAGCGCTGAGAACACCCATGATGCACTTGTGGATATAGATAACTTGTGGATATATCTATCTATATCTTGTGGATAACCTGCAGCAGTGCGGGATTATGTGGCGATGCGTGCCGGCAAAGAACTAGCAGCTTACTAACCCGGTGCTTAAGTCCCTCCCCCTCTCAAGCTCGGCAAGGTGTCTCAAGACTCCTCCCACTGACCCTCGTCTGCGCCGCCTCTTTCCTTGAAGGAACTTGGGAAGCAACACGGAACATGCCCATTGCTACGGCATATAATAAGCAGTACATACAGTCTATTACACTACACATGCCCAACTTAAATGATAGGGTGGACTATGCCATAACCTTGACAGAGGTACCACAGAGGTGTGCCACATTTCTCTAGCTCTATAAGACGGAAGTTTATGCCCTATAGTTAATTATACCTTCGAAGATTATATGCGCGCCATGCGAATAGGCTACTTTCCCTGGCTGGCAGAGCAGTCCGTCCTCTCCAGCGTTCACAAGGTCACTAAACTGTTGTACTTCACTGTACAGTACAACTGTTGTACTAGCGCAGGTGGGGTTGTGGTACCCACAAACAGAAAACGGGACATCACGTCAATTTCGCGAGTCGCTTCCATTTTTAGTACAATTTATTCCCTTAATTATTATTATTAATTATTAATTCCCTTCCGTTTTTAGTACAATAGTTTTGTGCTTAGGGACATTATACGTCAAAATGAGACGTCCTTATCAGGAAAACTGGTTGGGCACTGGTATACGCGAAGAGAAGGGTTTTTGCCTAATTTCTGAACAGCCTAATTTCTTAACAGCCTAATTTCTGAACAATCTTGTTTTTGGGGGAGATATGCCTAGTTCCTAATTCTACCCTTCAATACGAGGCTATGACCAAACTTGCTTAAAACACAAGTATGATCTGGTTGGAACTAGAGGCGAAAGCGTCAGCAGCTGTAGTAGCAGCAGCCGTACAGAAACAATGCAAGATAGTCACTAGTTCAAGAAGACTGAAAAAGAGCTTTACTTACGTCATCCATAATAACTTGATCAATGTGCGTTATCTTCTGCAGGTCATCCTGGTCAGCGTTGGAGTCCTTCAGAGCCTCATCCTGCTGGAGATCAGCCAAGGACCTCCTGGAGGAGGAGGAAGTTCTCTCCAGGGTGTCCATAGGAAAGGCTCCTGTACTGGCCACCATTTCTTCCACAGGCGTAACTTCTCCACCTATTGCCTTTGCTGATAAGGAATAGAATAAAAATATTTTATCCAAATTCGTAACTTCGGTAGAATAACATTTAGTATTATCAGCGTACAAACAGCCAAATATTTACCAATAAATTTTCAATATTTATAGCTATTCGAATCACAGAATCTGATTGTTACTAGCTAACTGTTAACTGGTCTTGGCACAATTGGTTTCCTTCAAGAGTCGCAGTTGGGGATCGAGTTAAGATTCCAGGGCGGGACAAATAGTTTAGCAAGTTCTTTCACCCAATGCACTGTTCACCTAGCAATAAAGAGATAGCCGGAGTTGGGCAACTTGTGGAGCTGTATGCTGTAAATGGTCATTAGTTTGACCTTTGGGAAACGGGGGGGGGGGGGAAGGTTACTTTACCTTGCAATGATTTCAGGGCTCAACGTCCCCGCGGCCCGGTCCTCTACCAGGCCTAAGAGTAACATGCTACCTCCATTTTCACATTAGTTGTAGCCTCATGTAGAGGCATGGTTAATTACACTAAGAACATGACCCGATGATTTTATGACAGCTTATCAGACTATCACCTGTATGTAAATATTTCATATTTTACTGTATACATTATGCCCACACTTTCTACCTTCATAGAATAACAAAACTAAGTTTAACCAACTATAGATGCAAGAAATATTTCAGATAAAAATTTTTACTCTCTAGACTAAACCCTAAAATATTATCTACCCAACAGACATTTGCCTCATGTCAGAAGACATTTTATTATAAGATTTTATTGCAAGTCAATTTGATATCGCAAGAGATCTAATTGTACAAATCCACAAGGGCCGTGATGAGGGTTCGAACCTACGTCCGGGGTGATCCCAGATGCGCCATAGACATGGTTAAAAGAATTGTAACCTGGAGTGCTATGGAGTGCTAGTGCCCTCATGAGGTTCCCGCAGATTCTCTGAAGCACAAACAGGGGTTGTACACAATTCCGTTCCAGGAATTGGCAAGTAGCACTCCAGGTTGCAATTATTTTAACTATGTCGTGGCGCAGTCGACAAAGGCGCGTCTGGCATCATACCAGACGTAGGTTCGAATCCTCATCACGCCCTTATGGTTTTGTTCATTTGATACAACACGCTATTGTGATTTCTGGGCATCTAATTGTAATCTTCGAAGTATTATTTGGCCTTTGGATATATATATAAAGGCTTTAGCTGTAACAAGAGCTTATCTTGAGGTTATCTTGAGATGATTTCGGGGCTTTAGTGTCCCCGCGGCCCGGTCCTCGACCAGGCCTCCACCTCCAGGAAGCAGCCCGTGACAGCCGACTAACATCCAGGTACCTATTTTTACTGCTAGGTAACAGGGGCATAGGGTGAAAGAAACTGCCCATTGTTTCTCACCGGCGCCTGGGATCGAACCCGGGACCACAGGATCACAAGGGCAGTGTGCTGTCCGCTCGGCCGACAGGCTCATGTATATTGCATTTTCTTCTTACCAGTGACTTTTTTACCAATCGTGTGATGATCAAAACATAGAATTCAGTTACCGACAAGATCGAGTATTGCTGTACTAAGAACATAAGAACAAAGGTAACTGCAGAAGGCCTATTGGCCCATACGAGGCAGCTCCTATCTATAACCACCCAATCCCACTCGTATACATGTCCAACCCGCGCTTGAAACAATCGGGGGACCCCACCTCCATGTTACGCGGCAATTGGTTCTACAAATCAACAACCCTGTTACTGAACCAGTAGTTACCCAAGTCTTTCCTAAATCTAAACTTATCCAAATTATACCCATTTTTCCGTGTTCTGTCTTTTGTTGATAATTTTAATACCCTATTAATATCCCCTTTGTTATGTCCATTCATTTACTATGTAAACTTAAGTACCCCTTACGAAGCCTTAAAAGACTTTACCCTGGAAACACAAACCGAAACTGTATTTTCCGCTTGTTACAACTTGTAATAAAGTTGTTACATCTTGGCTTAACGTGTTTATGACGTATTTGAACGTTGTTACAACTTGCTATATTGGTTGTTATAACTGGTTAGGAGGTGTTAAAACTTGTTCGAACGTTGTACCAACGTCGTAGTTTCGGCGTGTGTCTAGCGGGTAGTAACTCACCAGGCTGCCTTTCGTCATCGTTATCATAGAGGACATTGAGGGATATCCTGTGGCCAGCAATTATCGAACCCACTGGTCCAGATTCTTCTTGAGTTCGGGGATCAGGCGCCATCTTTCTGGCCGCTCTAGCCTCGTGCCTGGGAGGTCGACTACCGCCTTTCTTGCAATTGCTACTACAGCTCTTTGTTGCACTGTTGCTACTTCCAGCGGTGTGCAAGCTGCTGGGAGGGTTGGTGCTGTTTAGACGTGGTGGACTGCTGTAGTGAATGAAGTCGTCAGTCGCTACAAAGCTGTAAGGGATTACAAACGGTACAGTGAGGACAAGGTACACAAAAGCATGCTATAAATATAAATTTATAATCTATAAAATGCAATTAGTAGAATTGTGTACTATTTACTTTATAAGTCCAAAAAATGAAGCTAACAAAGCAAAGCTAATAATCCTAGGCCTATAATATTCATATATACATAGTACATGTATTACATTAGACTCCCTCTCCCCCCCCACATCGTATGTTAGGCCTAGGAAGGTTAGGCTAGTCTTTGCAACAGAAAATTTTTCTCCCGTTTGTTCAAATTTAATAGTATCGATTTATACTTTTTTAGTCGTGTTGTACGTCGGTATGCATGTATATGTATGTATGTATGTATGTATGTATGTATGTATGTATGTATGTATGTATGTACCATGGCCCTTCCCCTATCGTTACTACAAGTGCCACAACAGGAGGATTGACTAAACCAGACTTAGTCGTTGATCTGATAACATTAACAGGCTTCCTGTCCCTGGCAAACTGCAGTAAATAAGTATAACATTCAGGTTTTTTTTTTATCATTATTTTTTTTTTAAGATCTTGTTCTGTACTACTGAAACACTTGTTCACTAAGAATTGTAATGTACAATTGTCTTAAAACTTTCATGTAATTTATATTGTATTTTCTTTAGAAAAAAAAACTAGCCTCTCTAGCAACACTATACCGAAAGGTAATCTCAAAACTATGCTAACATCACGGCAGAACACAAATGGGCAAAGTTTCTTTCACCCTGAATGCCCCTGTTACCTAGCAGTAAATAGGTACCTGGGTGTTAGTCAGCTGTCACGGGCTGCTTCCTGGGGGTGGAAGGCCTGGTCGAGGACCGGGCCGCGGGGACACTAAAGCCCCGAAATCATCTCAAGATAACCTCAAGAATCAACTATAATAGAAACATTCTATTTTTGTATTGTCCTCCCCTATTTCCTTAGCCATTATGCCTACACTACCAACACCGTATAGTCTATAAATATGATCATTTATTCAGTGACTTGTATTATCCGACCGCAACACTATTAGGATAGGGACTTATGGGTGAATGGTCGAATAAGGGGAGGAGATTTTGAAAGGGAAGGGGGCGGCCCCCAAGCAGATTTCAGTGAAAGTAATAGGCTAGCAACACGGTAGAGCGGCCAGGTTGGCTAGCAGCCTAGACAATGCCGAGGGAACACCACAGTATGGCCGGGAAAATTATTGGCTCGTTTTTGGAAAATGTCCAAGAAGGGTTATTGTGTTAGTGGAGCGAATGTCAAGAAGTATGGCAAGATAAATATGTCAATGAACGCATAGAATGCGGAACGAATAGAATCTTAATTACGGAGGAGAGAAGTGGGATCAAAACTTTTAGTCGACTTTCACAAGGTATACTAAAATATAGATTGAACTAGACTTCCTGAGGCTACTGCCTTGGGGCGTATTTACGACCAAGTCAGGTCGCTTGGTTAGGAAACCCAGTAAAACCAATTTACATTTGTCAACACAAGGATACACGTACGCATTGAAAATTGGCCTAGACGCTCCGAATTCAGAGAGTAACGTCATTCAGAGACCACCGCTCCGCCTGACCTGAGCCAAAACGTTAGAAGACATGGCAAAGTTCAGTGCCAGCTTTACGAGATTCATTTTAATTCCTGCACCTTGAAATTCTAGTCTTTAAAAAGGGCTCTCCAACTATTTACGAAGTTAGGGGCTATTCATGCCCGTGCCACCTCTAGGGTGGCTTAATCTTTATCATATACGAAACTTTCACCTCTGTAGGTGCCACAGCTGCCCCTACTCCCAACCTTCGTTCCAAAAAGATTTCAAACTATAGTACGATATAATTTTTAACCAACGTTTATAGTAGCTTGTAGCCATCACTAATGCAATCGAAGTTTTAAAATAAAGCACCTGAATTGTTCAACTGTCCCATCCCCAGTTATGTTTACAAGGCGGGTTACCCGGCTGTACCCTGGTCTATCCTCAGTCTCCATTAGTCCCTTATCTATCTTTCCCTATCCCCACTCAACTTTATACCAAGATGCTTCAGGAAGTGCCGGACCAACCAGGCTGTGGTGGATATGTGGGCCTGCAGGCCGCTCCAAGCAACAGCCTGGTGGACCAAACTCTCACAAGTCAAGTCTGGTTGGGGAGTAGAAGAACTCCCAGAACCCCATCCAGGTAACGCCTAGAGGGCGAGGGAATAGGGGTTCTCCATCCCCCCCCCAATTTCTTAGTCCAATAGAACCTATCCCCGACCAGCCTATGTCGGTCCCATGCCCCCTCCCCCAGAAGGATTCCGAATGCAAAGTCGAGTGAGGCTAGACTGCAGCCTTGGACAAATAGAGGAAGTCAATTCGTGCTGTAGCGTGTACTCTCGTCACTTGACCAACTAACCTCCCCACTCTCACTTGTAAAGTATTTATCAACAAGTCGTACTTGTTGATAAACGTACGTAGTCGTAGATAAGTCGTAGATAAACGTAGATAAGTCGTACGTAAATCACTAGAATACTACACTAGCTACCAGGGATTACCAAGAGCAAACGCCTTGCATACTCACACTAAAGTATTAAATTGCAGGATGCGTCACTGAGCATTACGACAAATTAAGCAATAATCGTAGAGGTTCGTCATTAATGCAATCAAACTGAAGTGTTTAAAATTAAATACGAATAAATTATTCCAAAAGCAAAGTCCATGTAACAGTATGTAGCACATCTAATACTGTGTCCAAAGTGGGAGTCTAGATGCTTGGGGCTAGCTTCACCAAACTTTGCATTGGGAATGGTCTGAGGTACTGGATGTACATAGGATGTTTGGGGTATACCCAAGTAAAAAACATTCCAGAAATTTAGCATTTATAAACACACCACCAAGGCCATTTTCAAGGAGTGAAATATCAGACATGAATTTCCTATATTTTTTAGTGATCGTTGTTTGTCGTTTCAGATTTAGCTCCTCAGGACGAAGTGACCATGTAGCACGGGCTATGGCGAGCCCGTAAATTTTAGTGATCGTATTCTACATTTTAGGAATTTTCCGCGTTTCTGTTAATCTGTTAGAGTGGAAAGGTTAGAGATGGCGTGGGGGACCATCCCGACCACTGCTATTAGGCTATATACCATATATATATAGGCTAATAGCAGTGGCCTATAAGATATATAGGCTATATATGCAGGCGATGAGTCACAATAACGTGGCTGAAGTATGTTGACCAGACCACACACTAGAAATTGAAGGGACGACGACGTTTCGGTCCGTCCTGGACCATTCTCAAGTCGATTGTGGGAATGTGAGAATGGTCCAGGACGGACCGAAACGTCGTCGTCCCTTCAATTTCTAGTGTGTGTTCTGGTCAACATAGGCTATATATCTTTGCAAAAACCATCAGTATTAAATTGAATAGCTACTTAAGGAGTCTGGTCAGGATTGGCATTCCTAATCTAAACCAAACTGATAAACTAAGGTTTTTCAAAGTAGCTTCTTCGCGACAAAATACAAGACTGGTGTGACCAAGCGTCTGTGGGAGCATACCCATGTCCTACGAGGAAGGCAGAGCCTCCATACAATGAACAAATCCACAAGGGCCGTGACGAGGATTCGAACCTGCGTCCGAGAGCATCCCAGACGCTGCCTTAATCGACTGAGCTACGACATGATAAAGCCTCCATACAATGTTAAAGCTCTGGCAGCTAGACACGACCATGGACCGTCGATAGCAGCCCGTCCTTCTAAGGCTTTCAACGTCAGGAAACACTAAAAGTACCTTTATCATAACCTACCAGAAGACCCAAAACAGACAACTGGACAGTATGTCACTTTCGCGAGTCTCTTCCCGTTTCTAGTACGACAATTTGTGTAATTAGGTAGATTAAACATCAAAATACGGCATGCTATTAGGAAAACTGGTTGCGACGTGACGTCTCTCCCTCTCTGAAGCCTCATGACCAAACGCGCCGCTTCGCCACCATCTAAAACAACTTTTACTTCAGCGTCTGAAGAGGAGCTTTAAGTATATAGCGCACGCTGGTAATCTATTAATGCTGTAGGCGTAACAAGAAACACGACCCGAAGACGTACCTCCCAACCCCGGTACAAACACGACTACACTTTCAGTCGAGATACACACGTTGACAACCTGGTCAGGAAACTTAATTTGACGTTACTAGTTACTGCATTTTAACAGCTACAAGTCAAAGATTATAACCTAGTGAAGACCATGTATCCTGGGTCATTTTGTAAAGTTACACAATTTCGTAGATTTGGAATTTAAAATAGCATTGGGAAAACCGCTTTTAAAGGATTAAAATTTCCAACACTTCAATCTTCCAGAATGACGACATGTGGGAAATGTTCTTACTAGTATGATTAGAATTCATTTATGCTTAATAAACTGAGGATTCCTCCTCTGTTCAGAGATAGTTTTAATCAAAATGCGGAATTATGTATGACAACTCTAGAATTCAGCCAGATCCTTCCTACTTCGATAAGACTATTGAGCTGCTAAACTCGTCTTGTTAAAAGTAGAGAAATAAGAGTTAATACTTTTAAAAGTTCAGCAAATTAATATTTTTTTTCCCAGGGATATTCCTGCGCGGGCCCTAAGCCTCTGGCTGGCCCACTGGGCGGGCCCTAAGCCTCTGGCTGGCCCACTGGGCGGGTCCTAAGCCTCTGGCTGGCCCACTGGGCGGGCCCTAAGCCTCTGGCTGGCCCACTAAGTGTTGCTTGTTTCTGTTTTACTTGGGCGGAGTATGAGTATTTATGACTCGTATGGTCGCTTCAGTAAGATTTTGCCATATGTGTTTAACAACTTCTGCTCTGTTGAATCTAAGATGAAATCTTAATGGGTTTGTAACTGTGCACTGTGTTAGATAATGTTCCAGTGGTCTGTTGTGGTGGTAACTGTGCACTGTGTTAGATAATGTTCCAGTGGTCTGTCGGGCATTTCTCCACAGTGTTGACATTTCCATTATCTTATGATCAGTAATGTAACTATC